GAGCAATGCACAAAGAGTATTTCATAACCATAAAGGCATAGAACACTTGAGAAAGTATAAGGAGATTGCTGGTTAAGAAAACTGCATTGGATGTTATCTTAAAGAATAATTCCAGAGTTTGTGGAAATTTTAATTAGAGTATTCATACTTTCCTGAGGTACGTGAGCCAATTTAGATCATAAGACAGATTTGATCTCAGCTGTCTTTTGGTGGGTCATTTGAAGAGGTAAGTCTTTTTTTGTTTAAGATTTTGTCAGAGAAGGAGAGCCCACAAACAGGGGGAGTGGCAGCTGAAGATAGCTGTTTAACTGACTGAGCCACCGGGTGTCCCATACCATGACATTCTTGACTGGGCTAATTCACAGGAGATTTATTAATTCAGTCAAAAAACATTTATTGTGTGCCTGCCATTTGCTAGGTACTCAGCTAGATGCTGGAAATACAAGTATAAATAAATAAAAAAAATCTCTGGGGTGCCTGGGTGGCTTAGTTGGTTAAGTGTCTGCCTTTGGCTCAGGTCATGGAATCAGGCTCCTTGCTCAGCGGGCAGTCTGCTTCTCCCTCTGCCTGCTGCTTCCCCTGCTTGTGCATGTGTGCGCTTTCTCTTTGACAAATAAATAAATAAAATCTTTAAAAATAAATAAAGTAAAATCTCTTACTCATAGAATTTATATTCTTGTTGGGGAAGATAGATAAGTATCTGGAACTAACCCTTTTTCCATGTTAGGTAAAATTACATACTGTTTTTCAAGTATAGATCTTCTGGGGGACCTGTAAACAAGAGAGGATCCTTTAGGTCACTCTGGTTTCTTCAGTAATTCTTGGATCATGGGATAATAATTTGGGTGAAGGTAGTTGATATTTCCTAAAACTGGTGATGATTTTTGGTATTGCTCTTATATTTTGGACTAGGTTTAGTTGGTTTAAACTTTTCCTTACTTATTTAACTTTACTTTTTGGGTATGTAAGACATTTATATGGTACAGAAGTCAAAACTGTATAAGCAAGTAGCAGGAAAGTCTTATTTTTATCTGTATTCCCTCTAGCTTGTTCTCACTCCTATAGGTAATCATTTTTTATGAGTTTCTGACTTAATCTTCCAGTGTTTCTTTTTAATTGCATTAAATCTTATGGGAAAGAGAGGAAGAGAAGAAGTGGGAGTCTAAAGGAAGGAAATGGAAAGAAAAAAAAAACAAAAAAACCCCCCAAAACCAAACTTTGCTACACTATTTCTTGGTGCACCTGGGTGGCTCAGTCTGTTAAGCAGCTCCCTTCGGCTTGGGTCATGATCCCAGGGTCCTGGGATTGAGCTCTGAATCGGGCTCCCTGCTCAGCGGGGAGTCTGCTTCTCCCACTCCCTCTGCCTGCTGCTCTGCCTACTTGTGCTCTCTATCTTTCTGTCAAATAAATAAATAAAATCTTAAAAAAAAATTAAAAGGAAGGAAATCAATGGTGGGAATGAAGAAGAGTTTTATTAATAAAATCGGGCTTGTGAAAGGCTTTATTGGCACTCTTTTTGTCCTGCTTACACAACTCCTAACTCTGAAAGAGACCTAAAAAAAATAAACTTTATTTGGAATAATTTTAAATTTACAGAAAAGTTTTAAAAATGTTCAGAGAATTTCCTTCATTCAGTTTCCCCTAATGTCATCATCTTACATTACCATTTTTCATGTGTCAAAACTAAAAAGTAACATTGACACATTATTATTAAACTCCATTTTATTACAGTTTAGCATTTTTAAAAATAAAAAGCAGCTGTATGATGAAATTGGAATGAATATTATTAAAGAGGAAGCCAAGACAAAAAGCACAAGAGGCTTCATGTGTACCTTTACTGCCTTTCACCAAGATTACATCAATAATTTACCTATAAAGAGTTGTTGATTTCCTTTGTCCATTCTAGCTGCTGGGAGCATCTTGTATTTTATTTAATCATGGTGTAATGAGAATACTTACCATAATGCTTTTGAAATAAATAAAATAGGGGAAAAGGCAAAAAGTTGTACAACCCAAAGTCAGTGCTTTAAGTGTAGTTGGTTAATTTGTGGAGGAGGTTTTTGTTTTTTGTTTGTGTCTTTTTTGTTTGTTTTCTGTAAATCTTCTTTTTTTGTTTTGTTTTGTTTTGTTTTGTTTTGTTTTCTGTAAATCTTCTTATAAAATGCCCTGATGTGGTCAGTTTTGTTTTACTCACGTTAGTGGAAGGAGCATAGAAGCAATCGATAGTAACATATTGGTAAGCCCCCCCCCCCCCCCCTAAATGTTTGTAGACTCCACTGCTGATTTTAGAATTGTAGAGCTTGGAGTCTGAAGATGTCTTCGAGCCGGTTGTGCTAACTTCCTAGATAGTGGAAAGATCTCTTCAGTAATATCTATGCATCTGTGTAAATTATATCTCTGGCCAGGCCTTGCACATTGCTTCGTAAGGCAGTCTCTTCCATTATTATTATATTTGTCATAAAATTATTCTCTTGTGTTGAAGGATAGATCATTGCTCACTCTGCCCTCTGTGGCAATAGGGGAGTGTAAAGACCAGCCTGTATCAATTGTGTGTGTGTGTGTGCGTGTACGCGCATGTACAGGAGCTAGAAGTGTATGATACATATCCATATATAGGTGTAACTCCTTGCTTTCCTTCTTCTTTCTTTCCTTCCTTCTTTTGAGATATATTGCCCGTTTATTATTTATTATTTTCTTTTGGGTTGTAGAGGAATGTTGGGATAAAGAGATGCATAATGATAATGAGTAAAATCTCATGTCATGGGGTTGTTATACGGATTAAATAACATCGTATGTTCGAAGTGTTCAGTACAGAGCATGGCACATGGTAAGCATTTAAGAAGTGCTGACAGTAATAGTCTCTGTTATCAAGTCATTTCCTCCATTAATAGGGACAATAACTAATCAACTAATAAGACTAGTTTAAATGAAGTAAGTGCTATCGGAGAGATAGAAGCAAAGTTCTTACTTGTTCAAATAAAGGAGCAGCTAATCTCAGAAACAAAGGAAGGAGAAGTCTTCTTTCCTAAACTTTGAAGTAGTAATAGGATGTCCTTTAAGAGGATGGTATCCTAGAGTGCCTGGGTGGCGCAATCGGTTAAGTGGCTGCCTTTGACTCAGGGCATGGTCCCAGGGTCCTGGGATCGAGTGCCACGTAGGGCGCCCTGCTCAGCAGGGCATCTGCTTCTCCCTCTCCCTCTGCCCCTCCCCTCTGCTTATGCTCTCTCAATCTCCTTCTCTCTCTCAAAATAAATAAATAAAATGTTAAAAAAATAGGGAGAATGGTATTCTCGATTGAGGAGCTAGCATTAGCAAAAGCCTGGGGCTAGGAACATGCACGATCTTTTTCATGGAACCTTAAGCATTCGTGTGTGACTGGGGGTTGGATATGTAGAAGGTCTAGTGAGAAGTAAACATAGGATGTGGAGAGGTCAGACTGTACAGGGCTTTGAAAGCAATAGGGCAAGTTTGTACTTTATTCTAGAGGCTTTGAGTAATACTTTCAGGTCTTTGAACAGAAGACCAGGTTTGTAATTTACAGCAAAATAGATGTGCTTAGTCTTCCTGTTAATTTAAAATCTTGATTGAGAGGGCTAATGAAAAATATACAGGAGGAAGAGATAGTGGCTGTAATCCAAGGTATGAAATGGAAACCATTGGCAGATTGTGTAAAAATGAGTCTTTTAGAATAAGCCCCAAGAACTTTTTATTTTTTGAAGATTTTACTTATTTATTTGAGAGAGAGAGAATTAGCAAGCATGAGCAGGGGGAGAGGCAGAGGGAAAGGGAGAGAGAGAAATGGGCTCCCTGCTCAGTGGAGGGCCCATGGAGAGCCCATGCAGGGCTCCATCCTAGGACCCTGAGATCATGACTTGAGCTGAAGGCAGGCGCTTAACCCACTGAGCCACCCAGGCGCCCCAGCCAGAGGAACTTTTCGTAAATATATTTGGGCCTTTTCATATTTAGAGTATTAAACAAATTTATTGGACAATAACCTCTCAAAGAATCTTAATCTCTAGATTGGGAGAAAGGATTAGGTTGCTATGTGCATGGAAAGACAGAACTGTACTTTTCCAGCTGACTGCATATGTAATTGAAGATGGACTTACCGCAATAGGTTGGGCTGTCTTTCAGCTTGAAGGGAGAGCTTTAAGCGTATTTTAAAACTGAGCACTCAATTTCTATTTTTTAGTACAGAAATAATTATCTGACACAGGGAACTAGCCTTTGGGAATGAATCTGATGTGCCCAGACTTGAGCATTGCCAACATCTTCTCTTTTTGATATGCTTTTGTCTATTTGTTACGTTGTATTTTTGTTGATTTCTACCGTTGCTTATTTAGTGTTTGCCTTTTCAACAACTGGGACTCCAAATGATTGGTGCATCTTAGTTGGAGAAATTGTTGGGAAGGAGAGACTGATCAGGAAAGAGATTGTTTGGCTGCTGATCAGGTGAAAATTTAATTTAAGCTCATTACTGTTGGGTTACTGACTGGCTGGCTGGAGTGCCCAGTGAGTTATGTTTTGGCTTGGCATCTTTTCCTGGTTGTACAGATGATGTGGCTTCTAGAATCACTAGCAACAGGGGGTGTATGTATGTAATAACTGCTTGTCTATAGGTATGAGATGGATTTGCATGTCTACTAGTATTCTTCTGAAGGGAAGAAAGCAAATTACTACTTAGTTTGTATTCCAGGAAATACTAATGCTATTGTACAGTTACACAGTACTTATGTAAATAACATTTATGCTCTTTGACAATACTTTGTATCTGTTGTCATTTCATGCTCACAACAACCTTGTAAATGAGATTGGGCAGGTTTAATTCCTACTTGACAGTGGGGATGCTGAGGCATAAATAAGAGACTGGGTTAAGGTTACTGGCTCAACAGATCAATAACTGGGGCAACTTCCTAGGTTTCATTTTCAGATTGTAACTTTCAGAAGATTTTACAGGAGGAAAAGCTGAATGTGTCCCTCTTTTTTGTTGTTGTTTTTAGCGACGTCTCAGACACCTTCGGAACATTGCTGCCCGGAACATTGTTCATAGAAATGGCCATCAGCTCCTTGATACCTACTTCACGCTTCACTTGTGTAATACTGAAAAGATATATAAAGGTAAGGGAATCTGTGGACTTTCCCACAGATTGTTACATCTCCTTTTTATTCTTTTGTAACACAAGTGAGTATCGGTGCCTCTCGATTTGCTGTTATTGCTTTTTGGAAAGCTAAACTGTCAATGCTATCCGAAAATATTTCATGAGCAGTTGTTACATATATCATATATAAAAGAAACGTGGCTTTTGGATAGTTCTTAATTGCTAAATTTATCATTTATTTATGAATGTTAGCTATGAAGTTTTTGTTCAGTAGGTATCATGAAAGTAGGTATGTGAGTCCAGTATATGTACTAATTTTATTTTCTTCAAAACATAATTTTAAAAAATATTGTGGTAAAATTGAAACCAGTTTATGTCTTCTCATATTTGCAATTCCTTATGTATTTGTGGGGTCATTTTTAGAAGAATGGCTTGGTTTCCTTGACTTCATCTGCACATGTTGTACTGTGGACTGCTGCATAAGTGGCAATTCTGAGAGTAGAACAAATAAATGTTTGATTCAAAATCACAAGCGTCTTTTGAATACATATTGGATGAAAGGTGCTTGGATATAATCAGTTGACCTGTGTTGGGTGGTACCAAGGAACAAACATGGTATATGGGAGGAATATTGAATTAGGATTGAAAATAGAGAGTAGGTCCAGCTGTGTGACGCTCGCCAATGATCATGGCTTTTTGAAACCTCACTTTCCCCATTTGTAAAGTGGAAATAATGATGCCTTATAAAGTTTTGGAGGAACAGCTGAGATAAAGTTATAACACTGGGTAAAATGTGATTGAAGATATACTTATATAAACAAAAAGTGGTGTTATTTTAGAGGCTTATTTGAATTTTGTACTATGACAAAGATGAAAAATTCAAATGACATTTTACCTTTCTGATTTTAATAACTTTCTTTTTTTTAAGATTTTATTTATTTGAGAGAGGGAGAGAGAGCATGAATGGAGGGAAGGGTATAGGGAAAGGGATAAGCAGATGCGTGGGGAGCCCAACAACATGGGGCTTGATCCCAGGACTCTGAGATCATGACCTGAGCTGAAGGCAGATGCTTAACCAACTGAGCCACCCAGGTACCCCTGGTTTTAATTACTTTTAAAGACCATTATTAAAGCAGTAGTCATTTAATACCTTTTTTGTTTTTTAAATTTAATTTAAATTTTTTAAATTTAAATTTAAAATTTTTAAATTTCAATATGCCCATTAAAAGATTCAGTCAGGAATTACATAGGGTAGAACCACCACCATAATGTAAATAGCATTAAAATAATTTTTAAGGATGAAAAAAAAGGACTCTAAATTCTACATTTTCATATACTTTTATTCTTATTTTTCATTGTAACCATTGCATATTCTTAAAACACCATTACATCTGAACAATTAATGCTAGCTACTATAACAAATACTGCAGATCTAAGTGGCATAACATAATAAATTTCTTACACTAAGTCCAGTGCAGGTGTTCTTAACAGGCATTGTCTTGACTGTTGTCCTCTAAGCGGTGACTCAGGTATCCCAGCTCCTTCTGTTTTGGAATGCTGCTATCATCAATACATGACTTTTGGCATGGCAAGAAAGAAGGATTATTTGAGGGAGTTTTTTTTTTTCTTTTCTTTTCTTTTTTTTTTTTTAATGGAAATGGCCTTCATGAATATTATAACATTTCATTGGCCATAAATCAGTAGTGTCATCATTTTTAGATGGAAAGGGGACCGGGATATGTTGTCTTCCCATGTGTCCAGAAGGAAAATGAAACAGTTTGGTCATTGTCTTCGGGTATAAGCATTTTTGCAGACCTTAATACATTTGGTCTGCTGCTCACTAATGGGTTTTATCATTAGCAATATGTGACAGTGCCAGAGTGTTTTCTTTTTTTAGATTAATTAAAAAAATTATTTTTAATTTTTAAGTAATCTCTATACTGAGTGTGGGGCTTGAACCTACAACCCTGAGATCAAGAATCACATGCTCTACCGACTGAGCCTTTTAGGTGACCCATGCCAGAGTGTTAAAAAATTTTTTTTAAAGATTTATTTATCTCTCTTGGGGTGGGGAGAGGGATAGAGTGTCAGAGAGAGGGAGAGAAGCAGACTCCCTGTTGAGTGCAGAGCCCCATGGGGGGCTCATCTCATGACCCCGAGACCATGATCTAAACTGAAACTAAGAGTTGGATGCTTAACCAACTGAGTCACCCAGGCGCCCTGAGTGTTTTAAATTATTGATCATTTTCTATATAATCAGTCCTTGATTATCTTCATAAAACTTTTGTGTTCTTGCTCCAGCGTTATCTTTAATAATAATAATTAACATAGTACTTACCAGCACATTTTAGGTATTTGTTACCAGTCAAAGTAGTTAATAAGAAGATTGTAGTCAGGGTCTGGTTGATGACCATCTTATTAAAAGTTGTCTAAGAGATGTGGAAGCAAAGTGACTTTTTTGGTTTATTCTTTGTCTTCTTCTAGCTCAGACTACACCTTGAGTTTAGAAGTTATCATAGACTGCTTCTTAAAGTTGCCACCATGAAATGATCATTCATACAGTGAGGGGGTAGCTGGCTCTCCACAAGGGAGTACAGTCTCTGCCAGTGGTGGTGAGTCTGTCACTAACTGGCAAGCCCCTTGACTAGTACATTTAGTCCCTCTTGTGAGCTTTGGTGAATTTACCTCTAAAATGAGAGAACTGATGATTTCGGAGGCTTCCTCCTACTCCAAAATGTCATGGCTGAATGGAATCTATTTATCATTTTCTTTTGGGCCTGCATGTTGGGTTTTATAACTTTTAACTACCATAGGAGGAGCCGGGAAGTTGTTTCCTTAATAAGCCTAGTTAATCCACCTTATCTTGTTGAACCTGTGATGATAAACACAAATACTCACTTCATGATCTTTATGCGGCCCTTGGTGTAGGACGACCACAGTAGAGGGCCATTTGGCTCTTCTTACAAACTCACCCGTACCAGACCACCTGTTTAGTGGCATCATTTCTCAGTTTCTTTTATTGATTTGAGAGAGAGAGAATATGAGTGGTGGGAAGTGAGAAAGGCAGAGAGAGAGAGAAGCAGACTCTGCTGAGCAGGGAGCCCAATACGGGGCTCGATCTCAGGACCTGGAGATCATGACCTGAGCCGAAGGCAGATGCTTAATCTACTGAGTCACCTAGACATCCCCATTTCTTAGTTTCAAAAGTAGTTTTTGTTTGTTTGTTTGTTTTTTTAAATTGGAAAAATATTTGAAATACTGATCTCTAAGTTATTCTTTTATTTTGACTGAATTCGCAGCAGATCCTAAGAAGTTATGTGTGAGATGTTTTGACTTTTGTCATCTTTCAGTGCTCTTAGGACACTGCCTTCTTGTTAGGTAGTTCAGATCAAAGTTATCACAACCCCAGAGAACAAAGCCTTGTGTTAATGGATGAAGAACTAGGGTTCTAATTGTGGTTTCCTCTTAAACTTGAAATTTTTATAAAATCATGTTTGTTCTTCAGTCATAGTTTTTTTTTCACCCATGAAATGTGAGTGCCCAGAATGCCAGCCAGTTATTTTGGATACATTAGAAGATGAACTCCGTATAATCCAGAAAATTGTGGGTTAGTTTTGTTCACTGCGCTTGGAACAATGCTTGGCACATATTAAGCCATCATATTTTTTTCCATTTAATTTTTTGAACAGCTAAGGCAGTCGTGGTTCAAAATATATATAAAGGTTCAAATCTTTTCACCTGTCTCATCCCCATAGTTTTTTTACCCCACCCTAATAACCACTGTTTCTACATTTTTTGTTTCTCTTTGCTGAATTCTTTATGCAAATACAAATAAAAATAGTATAAACTATATATATTTCTGTGCCTTGCATTTTTCACCTAAAATTTCTTAGATGTTTGTCTATAGAGAGCTTCTCTGATTTTTCAGAGCTTCCCTAATTTTTTTTTTCTGCACAGTTCTGCAATAAGTAGATGTCCCATGATTTATTTAATTGGCTTCTCTTGGTAGGCATTTGAGTTATCCTAGTCTTGCTCTGCACACAGGACTGCTTTGAATAACTTCATAAGTACATTATTTTGTATGAGTGCTGGTATAGCTGTGGGGTAAATTTCCAGGAAGTGGAAAGAGCAAAGGATGTGTACTTCTAGTTTTCATAGATATTGCAAATTTTTTTTTATTTGCATTCCCACTTACTAGGTATGAGTGCCTTTTTTCCCATAGGCTCACCAACAGACTGTGCAATCAAACTTTTGAGTTTTTGCCAATCTGATAGGTGAAAAATAGTTTTATAGTATAGTTTAAGTTTGTATTTCTCCTTTTATGAGTGAGGTTGAGGTACTAAAAAAGCATTTGTTAAATGAATGGAATGCTGCATAACAGCCAAAACATGCCACTGAAACCATGCTGTGCAATGTCTGATTGCTTTGTTTTTCTAGGTCTGACTTAGCATGGATAGAGAGGCATTTGTATCTAATGGGCCCTTTCATGTAGAAATAGGTCTTGAGTGGTATCTTTTTAAAAATTTACTGTCAAATAGTTTTGCTTATAGTGAATTAATAAAAATTACTAGAACTGTGTTAATAAAAATTACAGTTTACAAAGTATTTTTAATTCACTATTTCATTTGAGCCTCACAATAACCCTGTTATTTTCCATTTGTCATTATCCTTTGAAAGGTAAGCTATGTGACCCAAAAGGTTGACTGACTTGTCCAGAGTGAATATCATAGGTGGAATGGGGACTGGACTTATTTTTTGACTCTAAATTCTCCCACATTCACTTAAATTCTCATATGTTCACTATTAAATCACTACTGTATCATGCTGCTAATTTTATTGACAATATTTTAGATGTAACAGAATGGTGGACAGTGTACGCCCATGTTTAGCATGTTAGAAATTACCTCAGACTCCATGATTTCTTGTAGGGCTTTTTTGTGGACCTCTTTCTGTTTAAATTAGCAGGTTATAAAAATTTGGATCCTGTTGTGAATTCTTAGAACCTGTCTTTTTTTAAAACTTAATATGTAGTGGCTGTCTTTTCCATAAAATAAAATAATTCTCTCTCTCTATATATATATACACATATATATATGTATATATATATATATTTAGGAAAGACAAACATAGAGTAATATAGATAGTATGTTTATCAAGAAATGCTTTAATCTAAAGATCTTGCCTGTAAGAGTTTTACGTTTAGGCCTACTGTTCATTTATCGCCTGACTCTTCCTTAGCTTTAGTTTTTAGTAGACTTTGACATGTTTCACTCTTTTTGAGTTTCATCTATACTATTACATACTTAATATATATTTTTAAGTTCATTATTTTAAAAAGTTTTTAGAGATTTATTCATTTGAGGGAGAGCGAAACGGTGCACGTGGTCACGTGCGTACGCAAAGGGAGGAGCAGAGGGAAAGAATCCCAAGCAGACTCCCCGCTGAGCACAGAGCCCAACTTGGGCCCCCATCTCATGACCCTGAGATCATGACCTGAGCTGAAATCAGGAGCTGAGTGCTGAACTGACTGAACCACCCATCATTACTTTTAAACTTACGTCTAAGTAAGATAACTCATTCAGTTAAAAAGTATTTATTGTCTACTCCATGCCAGGAATGGTTTTACATGCTGAGGACATAGCAGTTGTATTAAACAAATGCTTCCGTCCTTTCAGACCTTACAGTTAGGGGTTGAGGAATATATGGGACATAAATTTAAATATATAAGGAAAAAATAAAGTGTGTCTGTGTATCACCTAACATCATGTCAAGTACCAGTGGTCCATGTATCACACCTGGGAAATTTGTCTTATAGCAACACAAGGATATGAAGGTCCTTGTAGACTCTGCAGAGACAGAGCGTCATGATGGTGACTTCAGCAGGTTCAGAAGAGGCAGTGTTTGTCTGCATCTCTGCCATAATTCTCTCTTTTGATTGTGCCTCTAGGTTCGTAATGTTTACAGTACACATGAAGGTCTGTAGAATCGTGAGATTTTAATGCTTACAGAGCATATGGAATCAGTTTTTGTAGAGTGGTTGTAAGGTAGGAGAGGAGAAAGTCTAAATTTTTAAGGGCTTAAATTTGAATCTGGGGTAAAATTTGCTAAATTAAATCTTGACAGTTTTGGTCTTTATGAAAATTTTTCCTTTAAGACCCTTTTATTTAATTTTTATTTAATTAATTTATTTTTATTTATTTATTTTTTACAGCTAAAGGTATAGAGAAAATAGATCCCTTGAAAATGTTTTAAGGGACGCCTGGGTGGCTCAGTTGGTTGGACGACTGCCTTCGGCTCGGGTCATGATCCCGGAGTCCCGGGATCGAGTCCCTCATCGGGCTCCCAGCTCCATGGGGAGTCCGCTTCTCCCTCTGACCTTCTCCTCGCTCATGCTCTCTCTCACTGCCTCTGTCTCAAATAAATAAATAAAATCTTTAAAAAAGAAAAGAAAATGTTTTAAATGTTTTACTGGAACATATGTTAAAAAAATTTATAGGATTAAGAGTTAATGAGCTTATTTTCTTTCATATCACTTATTTTTTTTTCTTCTTTTCCAGAATTTTATAGGAGTGAAGTGATTAAGAATTCCTTGGTAAGTTTGCTTTCTGACAGGTACACTTGACTAAGCCTATAACTTCTGTTTCAGAAAATGCTGAGACATAAGTTCAAGTTCAGTTCTGCTATTTATTATGATACTTCTGCGGTTAAATCTTATGCTTAGTTACTGCTTAAATTTTCATTGATTTGTTCATTGCTGTATCTCTCATCCTTAGAACATGCCTGGCACATAGTAGGTGCTTGATAAATATTTGCTGAATGAACTGATATTTTCTCTTAAAAACTTCAGTGTTTTTTTTTATTCATATTCTATAATTCTGTTAGTTTTTTTTTGATTATCTGGTTTATGAAACATAATAAATGATGTCTTTGTTTAGATAAAATTCTCAAGAATTGTATGTCTAGGGCCATTGCATAGGATCTTCCCACTTATTTTTTGGTGGTGGAATTGCTAAGGTAGAAATTTGGAAGTGTCCTACTTTTGATAATGTACACATGAGATATTTGCACAAATGGCTCAGTTTTTTGAGCCATGTTGACAAAAAAAGGACTTTATGGGAATTATAATATCTTCTTAGTGGTCAAGACTGCTGGATTTGGCCTCTGTCCACTTTTTCAACCTCATTTCTTAATAGTTTTCCTTACTCTAGGCATACCTCATTTTTTTGGTGCTTCAAACATGCTGAGCTACTCTCCCTTTCTTATGTCTAGAACACTTGTTTCCCCAGCTCTTTGTTTGGCTAAAGACATCTTTGTGGTCTCAAGTTATAGGACTTTGGTTTGGTCTTCTATAACTGTTCCATTGAAAGTGGTTCCCTTTCTCCTAGTCACTCTTTTTTATGTCACCTGTTTTATTTTCTTCAGAGCATTCATCACTCTTGGAAACTCCTGTTTACTGATTTCTTTATGTTGATTACGTGTCTCCCACCTACTAGAACACAAGTTCCATGAGGGCAGGGACCTTGTATAGAGTCTAGAATAATATCGGTGCTCAGTAAATACTTGTTAGATGAATAAATGGATATCAGTTATGTTTTATGTTTACAGAATCCATTTACATACGGGTTCCATTTTGATCCTTATAACAACCTGTAAGGAGATGAGGTAGGTCTTAAGGAACTGACGTCCAGAGAGGCCCAACAACTTTTGTAGTCACATAACTGTAGGACTGGATCCTAAGTTCAGACCTCTCTCTTCAGGTCTCTGCTGCTCTTGCCTCTTTATCAAGCTGCCTTCTCAATGTCTCTAAAATAAAATAATAAATTTGGATCTAGGGCCAGACAGTTTCCTTGAGCCTGTTTCTGAGGAGCTCCAATCACCAGTACAGCTCACTTGTTCTGCATATAGTAAATGACATGAAATGACTAGCGCCATGCCTGACACAGAGTAGCTCTTGAGTCAATATTAGTGTCTCTTTGTCCCCTGGCTCAGGTGAAAATGTAAGTGTCCTACACACCAGGGAGAGCTGGGGAAGAGTGGGTGGTTGCAGGGGCAGGTAGAATAGAATTTCACCTTGATTTATTCTACCTTCCTTTTGGTAGTCAAAAGTCTATTGGAAATGGTTTTACACCATCCCATTGCTTTTTCTCTGGATTTGGGTCATAGTGGATCCTGTGCTAATAGTGCTACGTTAGTGTATTGTTCTACATTATTGTATTTACTTGGTATTCACTTGCCTTTCAAGTTCGTATTTTTTTTTTAATTTTATTTTTTATAAACATATAATATATTTTTTCCCCAGGGGTACAGGTCTGTGAATCGCCAGGTTTACACACTTCACAGCACTCACCATAGCACATACCCTCCCCAATGTCCATAATAACCCTCCCCCCCCAACCCCCCTCCCCCCAGCAACCCTCAGTTTGTTTTGTGAGATTAAGAGTCACTTATGGTTTATCTCCCTCCCAATCCCATCTTGCTTCATTTACTCTTCTCCTACCCCCTTAATCCCTCATGTTGCATCTCCTCTCCCTCATATCAGGGAGATCATATGATAGTTGTGTTTCTCCGATTGACTTATTTCGCTAAGCACGATACCCTCTAGTTCCATCCACGTCGTCGCAAATGGCAAGATTTCATTTCTTTTGATGGCTGCATAGTATTCCATTGTGTATATATACCACATCTTCTTTATCCATTCGTCTGTTGATGGACATCTAGGTTCTTTCCATAGTTTGGCTATTGTAGACATTGCTGCTATAAACATTTGGGTGCGTGTGCCCCTTCGGATCACTACGTTTGTATCTTTAGGGTAAATACCCAGCAGTGCCATTGCTGGGTCATAGGGTAGTTCTATTTTCAACATTTTGAGGAACCTCCATGCTGTTTTCCAGAGTGGTTGCACCAGCTTGCATTCCCACCAACAGTGTAGGAGGGTTCCCCTTTCTCTGCATCCTCGCCTCAAGTTCATATTTCTAAAACCATCTCGTTGAATATTAACTCTTCAGTCCTTCTGGCTCCCATCTTCTGTTGCTTCTGAAATGTCCATGAGGTTGTGATACCTTCATGCCTGGTGTGTACTTAGGTTGAATAAATGTTTTATAAAAATACTGTAGAATGGATTTCAGACAATGGAGATATTTGGACAGAAGACTTGCAAGGTCCTTTCCGGTTACAGTTTGTCCTGCAGTTGTTTCCTGGGGATCCCACTTTGAGCATTTGCGTCCATTATGATTGTTGATGAACGGTTTCCTCTCCCAAAGTAGATGACAGCTTTTGGAGGTCAAGAGACTGCTTGAATATCTTTATGTCCTCTGGCTCCCCGTGTACTCCTTGGGAGTTGTTGGATAAATGTTGATTGGTTTATGTTTCCTTTTAAGGATATTCTTTGAGGTTATGATATTTCTGGCAAGGATTGTCTTTCCTATCTTTTGTAGCTTAATATAGGTTTGATAGACTGTAGTTCATATGTTCTTTTCTTTTGGAAAGGACTCTTCCTTCTTTGTTTTTTGTTAAATCACTGTGACTGATTCAGATTAATGGGCATTGAGCACCACAGGAGTCAAAAACCCTCCAGAATATCCTGAAGATGGCACATTGTTATCTCCCTGCTTGCTGTTTCTGAAGAACCACAGATGAGCAAAGTTTGTAGGGCTTCTTCCCTGCTTAGGAGCTGGTGATTTGTAAGCAGTTGTGATATCTGCTGAATAGAGTTAGTGATTTAAATGCTTTTATTCCTCCTGGTTGCCCTTTGTTCTTGGCACATAGAAGGTGCTCAGCCAATGTTTCTTAGTGAATGGATTCCTCCATAAATATGTTTATTGACTGACTTCTAAGTAATATCCTGAACCCCCAATCCTCAATTAGCTATTAAAGATTAGGCAGAGTAATGCTTCATTGATTTTTAGCTGAAGCTCTGGGTGAATTTTCACCCTGGTGAACTAAGCTGGACTCTAGTGAGCTTGTATTCTTTTTTAACTCCTTTAACTTCAAGGCTTCACCTGTTTTTCCTAGGTTTGTATTTTTAACTTGGTCCCCAGTCCAGGTTGGCTGCTTTTGCCATTGTGATGTCAAAGGAAACATGGAAAATGGACATGAGTTAAAAAGAATGTTTTCGCCCAAAGATTAAATTGACCTTATGTGCATATTCCTTGGGTCTTTCTAACTCTTGGCTACTGCAGATCACCGCCGCGGTGCTGTTGGTGTTCTGTGCCCCGCCTGGTACATTTGCAACTAGCCATGTGTGGCTACTGACCGCCTAAAATGTGGTTCAGTAATACTGGAGAACTAAATTTTTAATTTTATTTAATTCTAATTTAAATAGCCACAAGTGGCTAATGGATATGGTATTGGACAGTGTGGTTTTGGATGCTTCTGAAGAGCTTTCTTACAATCTAACATTAGCAGGAAGAGGCTTCCCTTTTTCTGTGCTTTGAAAAAACAAAACTTTGGGGGCACCTGGGTGGCTCAGTCGGTTCAGGGACTGACTGGCTCTTGATTTCAGCTCAGGTTGTGGGATCGAGTCCTGTGTGGGATTTTGGACTCAGTGTGGAGTCTGCCTGAGATTCTCCCTCTCTCTCTCTCTGCCTCTGCCCTGCCCCTACTCCCTCTCTCTTTCTAAGTAAATAAAAATCTTTAAAAAACAAAGAACAAAGAACCTTGTCCTTATGCTACTGATACCATTCTAAAGCGGTGTGATAGCTGTTCCTTTGGTTATCTTAGCTTCTTTAATATATAGGATAAACCTTACAAAGGGAGGGACCTGTACGCGTCATCTTCATAACCTCCAGAGTCATTGTGATGGCTTGTATTTGGTAAACAAGTAAGACAAGAAAAATAGCCTAAGCCAAGTTAGTTCTAAAAGTCACCATTATTTTATGTTCACCAAGAAAAACAAACACTTGTAATTAAATTGAAACACAGGACCTTCTTAATAGTCCTGAATGAGTCATGATTCGATCTTCCTAGCCTGAGTCATGATTCGATCTTCCTAGCCTCTTGTTACTTTGCTATTTCTTTTACCCGTTCCAAGGTATTTATTTAGCAGTCTTTCCTTCCTTTAGGTATATTGCTCGACCTGTGTTGGGAATCTTTTGAATCTCAGCAACAGAACATAAATACGCTTTTTCAATCTGGGAATTTCAAGTCTTAAAGAAAAGGATGGATTAGGTTTTTTTCTTCATTTACAAATATTGCTTCTCTAATACCAAATTCATGTCTTCTTGTTTTATGTCTGTGCCCTTTTGCCTATACAAAACTTAATACTTTTTTTTGGGAAGTTTAACATACATAAAGAAGAGATTACAGTTCTTAAATATACAACTTGATGAATTTTCTGAAATTGAATATACTGGTATAACCAGCTTCCAGGTCAATAAGTAGAGTATTTTTAGTGACTCTGAAGGCCCCTCATGCCTTCTTCAGTTACTGCTACTGTCCTGACTTAACATCATAAATTAATTTTTTCTACTTCTAAGCTTTACAGAAATGAGATCATACAGTATGTACTCCTTTGTATCAGACTTGCACTTTATATTGAAAGAGTCTCAACTGTATATTTTAAGAGTCATTCAGATTGTGGGTATATTTGTAGTT